AGACCTTTATTTGTTTCGTGGGTGTTTTGCTGGCTTGTGATGGGGTGTGAACCGACAGTCTGTAGAGTTTATCTAGTGTGTGTGAGTGATAGTCTGCTTTGATTTTCGTCACGGGTACCTTGAGGGCAGTGGTTGGTGGTCCCCACCTCCTCAAGAGGGGTATCAGTTGCCGGGCAGTCGTTTATGCTTAACAACAAGGGGTTAAATTAAGGTAGATTATCACTTACAGTGTAATCAGCTAGGGGATTATGCAGACTGTTGAGGGTTCAGCCTCCTCACGAGTCGGTAGGTGTAACTCCGACGAAACATTTTGTCACAGCCCCTCGTTTGTTGTCCTCTTCTCCCTTCCCTCCCTCTCTGCCTATGCTTTACCGGGAAGCTCTGTTTGACGATATATATAAGAAGTTAAGAACTGAAAGCGGTCAATTACTGTACTTTGCTATGATCTATTGAAGTACAATGATTTGGCAATAGTCCAAAACCGCAAAACGGTTTCAGGAAGTTGGGCGCCGCCCGAGGGTAATTGTTGAACCGCCGGATAACGTATCACGCTACTGCCACAGCTGTTGTCCACAGTGTCATTCTTTCAGAAAGAAAAAGGAAAAATGATTTCTTTCACAAGACATTTGAAGAAAAAGTTGGAAAAAAAAAAAATGGAATTATGTGTGGGGTCCTTGATCGAGGGCCACACTGCTTGTCTCTGCATTTTTCCATTTTCTTGGATGTCCTTTTGCATTATTATGAAGTAATATGAACTTATCATCATAGTATTTATTTAATTTTAAATTTTGTTGTTGCATGTAACCATATTCTTCATTAAAATCCAACTGTTATTCATATACTTGTATGTGGGGTGGGAATGTACTCGGATGGGATGATGCTTCACTGTGTCATTTCCTCATCTGGTGCAGCCCTGGTCAGCGTCAGACACAGCCCATCTTCAAATTGCTCCTTAGGGTGTTGCTGGTCTTGATCGAACTTGTCTTTTTGGCAATGTCTTTTTTGTTCCTCTTTTAATTTATCTCAAATTATGTTTTTTTTTTTTTTTTTTTTAATTTAAAAATTTTAAATGCTCCAATCTATTGTCTGTTGATTGTGCACTGTCTCAAGTTTTGAGTACTTTGGGGGCTTCTTTGATCTTCCCTTTCAAGACTTTTATCGATTTTGTAAGCCTTTTTTAGGAAAGGCCTGCATTTCTTGTTGCCAGCCACTCGCCCTGGCTCAGGGGTAGGGTCTACCGAACCGCGAATCAGGAGTCATAACTGTCCAGAAGTCCTCTCATAAACCACCAGTACCTCTACCAGTGTACGGCCGCGGGGCGTTCACGTTAACGCCCCACGATTTTCGGGAGCTTCGCGGCCGTTCAGACTTCACATCTGCGGTCAACGTCGCAGCGCAGGCCTCCAAAAGTCGCGGGAGGAAGTTGCGGCCATACAACCGGTAGGTACTGGTGGTTTAAACTTCCGTCACATTCAATATTCTCTTAAACCACCAGTACATCCGGAAAAGGAGATCGACCCTCTCCTAAAAAACAGGAGGCGGCCATGAACCGCCGATTCATTTTATGGGCGGTCCATGGCCTCTGATTTTTTAGGCGAGGCTCGATCTTTTTTTTCGGATGTACTGGTGGTTTAAGGACCGGATGGTATGCATAGAGGCGGCTGATCAGGTAGCCGAATAAAGGGCTTATTAAGTACACCACTAAAGGGCTTATTAAGTACACCACTGCGAGGACAGGGATTTTTTAAACGAGACTTTACACCCACGGCAAGGTGTGGAAATAGTCCCCATGGATCATGCTGACATATTCTTCAGATTCTACAATCACTCAGAGAATACTCGGTATCCTGAATTACTAGTCTTTCGTGGACAAAAGATCGTCATGATGGTCAATATTTCACTCACCTCCTGAAGTAATCTTGTGCTTAAAGTTTGAACTTAGCTTGCTTGAAGGAGTCGGCGAGTTCTGCAGTGTAAACCTGGATGAATGGGCATCTCAAGAATTGGCTGCAGCTTGACATAGATGTTGCTGGCTCTCTTTGCATCGTGAAGGACGATGGAGTAAGAAGGTGATGATGGCAGATTATGGTTCTGTACTTTTCTTTTCTTGGTACTTTTATAAGCTTCGTGGTATATATGCTGGTGCATGATATATTGTTTATGCCTACATTAGGTGATAGGTTTGATATGTTCCCAAAGTAAATCCCCCTTGTCAACAACCCCCCTTATCAACAACCCCCCTTATTAACAACCCCCCTCATCAACGACCCGATACTTAGGCGAAGAGAATGTTTATCTCTGCTGATTCTTGATTGTATATTTGCAGGTACTAACTTGTATGATATGATTACTTCGCTTTTTCTGTTGTTATCGCCGTCCTATGGCTGTGTGCATATGGGGGCGGGTGTGTGTGTCTGTGGTGTGAGTGGATGCATACTCACTCGCCTAACAGGGAAGTGGGAGCGTGGTAGGTTCGTGGGAGTGACACTGGTAGATAAGGTTTTGGCGGTGATGGGCTTTGGCAAGGTAGGCTCGGAGGTTGCTAGGCGAGCAAAGGGCCTGGGGATGCATGTCATAGCTCATGACCCCTACGCGGCCCATGATCGGGCCAGGGCAATGGGCGTGGAACTGGTGTCGCTGGAGGAGGCGCTGGGTACTGCCGACTTCTTCTCCCTGCACATGCCTCTCACTTCGTCCACAGAAAGGATGTTCAATGATGCCGTCTTCAACAAGATGAAGGATGGTGCACGGATCATTAACGTCGCCAGAGGAGCGGTCATCGACACGCCTTCTCTTATACGTGCTCTCGACTCTGGAAAGGTTGCACAGGTGCGTCAACACTTATTGCTCCTTCTGCTGCTGACTCTGATATCTGATTTTTGGGGGGCTGATCAGTCTAGCCTGCCTCCCCTTTTTTTTTGGTCGATTGCAAGAATGGAAAAGGGTGAAAACGATCTCCTATTCCCGCTAAACTACCCATGAACCCACAAATTCTTTCAGCCAGTGTAGCTGGGGCAAGCCGGCAATTAGAGGGGGGCTGTGGAGGTCTCCTCGGAATATTCAACTGTCAATTCCTGACAATAATGTAAATACTAAATCGAGACAGGAACGATGAAGAAAGAAACAAGAACAGATTACAATCATGGAAACTCTTGATATCCCCGACATGCATTTATTGAAAAAAAAAAACTCATGCCGGCACACGAAACACACCGCCGGGCCGGGCCTGTATTCGGTATGTCTGTTAAAACTTAAAAGTTGAACCAAACAGACAGAAGATTAGCAAGGCCTTGTGAAGAATGAATGACACACAAATCGGAAAAAAAACAAACAAACATCAGGGCCTATATGAACTCGTTTTTGAAAACGTATGTGGACCCTAGTCCAGGATATTCTCACACAC